ACAGCGGCCCGCGGGCCCCGCACCGGGTCACCCGAGCGGCCGGAAGGGGGTCGGGAGAGGGAGAGCCCGCGGCTAACAGTCGCCACCTCCCCCCGAACCCCCGAGACCCGGCTGCAGAGCCTCCCGGCCCCGGGCCCCAAGGTCCCTGCCTCCGGTGGCGACGCCACCATCGGGCGCCCGGCCACCCAAGCGCAGCCCCCCAACTGCCGCCACAGGCTCTGGGGGCACCCTCCCGATCCCGGAGCGGCCCGCGCGGCTCCCCGCAGCCTCCGGGGGCGGTGGAGCCGGGCACGGGTCCCGCACGCGGGGCACGGGTCCGGGCCAGCAGCCCCGCGGCCCGCGGTGCCCACGAGGAGCCGCGGCGCCCCACGAGCGGTCCACGGCGCGCTCCGCTCCGGCTCGCCTCGCCGCCGCCGACGCCGCCTGCAGCAGCTGCGGAAACCCCGGCACCCGGCTCTCCAGCCCCGGCTCCCCAGTTTCTCCCCGTTCTACCCCCCGCCGTCCCGGGACTCGCAGGCTCCGCCGCGCTTGGGGCCGGTTCTGGGGGAGGGAATGTAAACAAATCGGGGTTTTATAGTTACCTCACACTCGAGTGCCGTGTGCATCTCCTCTCCGCTCGGTACCAAACCCCGGCTGCACCAAATCGTGTATTCACCAAACCCGCCTGCGCTAAGTGCGTCGCGGAAGCCCGCGCGGCGGACCCCGCTCTACGCTAGCTGCGCACGAGGAGCACGCGAGCTGCTGCGCAGCCGCACCCCGTTCCTCTCGGGGTGCTACGCCGCGGACGTACTCGCAACACCCAGCCATTCACTCCAGATGACGCCGCTCGCGTAGGGGCGCCGCACCGCTCGCGGGTTCCGAGAGGCTAGTCTAAGGCGAGCAATCGGAAATTTGCGTCTACGCAAACTGCGCAAGTGCGCGGCTCCGCGCTAGTTTTGTTCCAAGAAAGGACGCCGCGGGCGAGAGGCGGCGGCTTCCCACGCATGCGCAGAGCGCCCCGTGCCGCCACTCGCCTTTTCTCCGCGCCCAGCACCCGGTGCTGCGGCCTTGCGTCGCGGCGGCGCATGAGTAATGGGCGCTCTCAGCGCAGTTGTTTAACCAAAGGGTTTCTGATTGATAAATTGGGATGTCTGACGCTACACGAGTTAAACATCTACTTTGAACTAATCTATCGCTCGCTCTCTTTAAAAGTAACCTTTTCAGCTTCCCGGGGCAAGAGGGAACTAACATTTATTTAATGCTCACTAAATGCAAGGTGTTTTTGCATCGTTTTTTTACCCTCCTTCATTTTCTCAAAACCTCATTTCCTGCGGGCCATCCTAGTCTAAAAGAAGAATAATTAAAATCCAAAGGGCATGTCAAACAGAGTAATTCCCCAGGCTTTTGCCTACTTTCCACCACTTTGTAGTGGTCTTCCACCACTTTGTAGTCTCTGCTTCATCAATTACTTCTTTACTCCAAAGCACCAACTTCCGGCCTGGCCAAGCCCTTTCATGGACTCCTGCCTACGTCGTGCCCATTCTTGTTTCCTTTGCTTGTACCATTCATGCCTTCTGAACTGTCTCCTCCCCTCTTAAGCAACCCTCCACTCACGCATTCCTTCAAGCTAGCCTTGGCTGCCTGCCTTTTGCCTCCTTACTCTGCTTCCTAGCACTTACTCAGCCGCCACGTTGAGGCTGATTTGTACTCTGCCTGGTGGACCAATGTGTTCTGCTTCGAGAGCAAATACTGAGTACAAGAATGAATCCTGGAGGTGCCTAGCGGAGGGCTTGAAACCATGATCAATAATAGTAACAAGATTAAGACGTTTTCAAAAGTTCTACCTGTCAATTAATTCCTGTAAACACCACGAGGAATACTATCCTCCTACCCAGGAGCCCTGGTGGTATATTGGATTATACATTGTACTCCTAGGCTCCTCGGCTCAAGGTCAGCAGTTCAAAACCACCAGCCACTTCCATAAACCCACAGGGGCAGGTCTACCCTGTCCTTTAGGGTCTTTATAAATCAGAAATGACTCTGTGGCAGTGAGTTCCCAGCTATCACAGGAAACTGCGAACAGAGGTAAGTACCTTGACAAATAACCACAATGTAGTTAGGGAGGAAAATTGGGGTCCAAGGGCAGGCTATCTGGCTACAAAGTCATTCTATCACACTTTCAAGAAGAAAAATTCTATTGTTTTTGAGTTATATCTCTACATAGGTGCTTAATAATTATTGACTGACCAGCAGGACACTAGACTTCTCCTATCTCCCTGCCCTTGTTTGGTGGAGCCAGTTCATCAGCCTCACTTCTGCTGACTCCCACAGCTATTACACAGAGGGAGGCCTGAGGTTTGAAGGAAGGAGCTCCAGTCTAGCTGTCAATGCTAGCTTCAAGTCTCAGCATTGCCAACAAATAGGGGAGGCAGTGATCCTGGGCCTCAGATTCATGGATGCATTAAGAGGATCCATCTACGTGTAATCTAAGATTCATTCCAAATATGAAGGCATTAGATTTTATAAAATCATTAGAGTACATCCCTTGGGTCCAAAGCATAAACAGCATCCAAATTACTTTGATATAATAAAGCTCATAATTAATTTACTGAACACTTTACTATCATTGCCCTTAATATCACCCCCCCCCCAGGAAATACCATACAGCATTTACAGTTCTTACATTTTTGAGCATCTACCCTGCTTCTATCTGGACTATGAAATTAAAAGGCTCATGTTCAGCTGGTACACACAGGCAGAGCTCTGTCTATCGATCAAAT